TTATTTATTTATTTTGTGTGTGTGTGGCCAGCTCAGCCCACCAGGGGGTGGGGCTGGCTGGCATGTGGTGCTGGGGGATTGAACCGCGGTCCCTGTACTTTGCTTAGCTTAGCTTGTTCTAAGTAGGTGCTTTAGACCACTGAGCCATCTCACCAGCCCCTCTCTCTGGCTTTCTGAGACAGGGTCTCACTATGCATTTCAGGCTGGCCTTGAGCTCACTTTGTAGCCCAGGCTGGTCTAAAACATGCAATGATCCTCTTGCTTCAGCCTTCTTGAGTGCTGGGATTACAGACCTGTGCCACTATGCCTGGCCTAGAGTATTCTTTTTTTAGGGTATTCTTCCTATACCTGTCTCTCACCATTAAGATAAAAATTTTGTAGAAAATTAAATTTACATATTACTCTGGAATTGTATTTTGTCCTTCTGTCCTCTTCCCCATGCTTAGAAGTGAACTGAGGGCTTTGCATATGCTAAGCACACACTCTACCACTAAACTGCATCCTTGTTACTGAGAAGCTAAGTAAAGAATGCCTGTGAGTTGGAGTGTGTTACCCAGTATGAGTTAACAATTCTGAAGTTCCTTTAGTATGTTACTGTGTTATTGGATTGAGCAAATACACAAATTCATTAAGGATAATCAGAACCTGATATTTTTGTTTGAAGAAAATTATAAATCTGCAACAATCAGGGTGAACTCATAGCTTATGATATATGTGAATACAGACATTTGTGAATAGAAGTAGATGTATGCATGCATATCTATACATGTGCACACACATTTCCTTTTCCTGGCTCAGTCTGCTAAAAGTGATGCAACAGGAGTACACTAGAGCTCAGATTTGGGCTTCATGTTCCATTAGGTACTAGCAGGAACCAGGACACTATAGTAATGGCTGATTCCTGTACAACAGCAGATGATTTATAAATAAGTTTAGCTGAGAATACCTTGTTGAGATGGAAAGCAAGAAACTGCTGAAAGTACGACTAAAGTATTTTCAAAGGACACAGGCCAGATATGGCACACACCTATAATCTCATCATTTGGGAAGCTGAGGCAAGAGAATTCCCTTGAGTTTGAAGGCATCCTAGGCTACACAGGGAGTTCAAGGCCAGCCAGAACTATACAGTGAGACCCCATCTCAAAATAAATAAGGGGCCAGGGAGATAGCTCAGTGGAATAAGTGCTTACCTGGCAAACAAGGTCCTGAGTTTGATCCCTGGTACCACCAAAAAATAAAAAATAAAAATAAATATCAAAATAGGGGCCGGGGAGATGGCTCAGTAGGATAAGCACTTGACGGGCAAACGCCAGGATCTGAATTCAATCCCCGGTTCCGCCAAAAATAAATAAATAAATAAATAAAATAAAAAGACACAGGAGTCAGCTACAAATACTTTCACAGAACAATTTAAGCTCAGAAGGACTTCCTCAGGAACAATTTGAATATCAAAGTAACTACTTAGGTTGTAACAGTGAATAAAATAAGAATCCCTAAATTCATACTGATATAAACTAATAAATACAAAAGAGGAAGTCTTCCTTTAAACAGAATGCCAATTGCTGGGCCCGGTGACACATGCCTGTAATCCTAGCTGTCAAGAGGCTGAGGCAGGAGGATTTCTGTGAGTTCAAAGCTAATTTGGGTTATATGATGAGTTTAAGGCCAGTTTGAAATATATTCAAAATGAGACCATGTTTCAAAAAAACCCCAAATAGGGGCTGGTGAGATGGCTCAGTGGTCTAAAGCACCTACTTGGAACAAGCTTGGCAAAGCACAGGGACCGCGGTTCAATCCCCCAGTACCACATGCCAGCCAGCCCCGCCCCCTGGTGGGCTGAGCTGGCCCCCCCCACAAATAAATAAAAACAAACAAAAAAACAAAAAAAAACCCAAATAAACAAACAAAAATAAACCAACAGAATTACAACTAATACCACACTGCATACTAGAATCAGAAAATCGCCATTTTGCAATTATCATGGTAGTAACTGATTTCAGTGAGATTGATCAATAGATGAAAAAACTAGAAGGTTAAAGTTGGAGGAACATGGGGCTGGTGAGATGCCTCAGTGGTCTAAAGCACCTACTTAGAACAAGCTTAGCAAAGCACAGGGACCACGGTTCAATCCCCCAGCACCACATGCCAGCCAGCCCCGCCCCCTGGTGGGCTGAGCTGGCCACACACACACACACACACACACACACGTACGCATACATACATAAATAAAAATAAAATATTTTTTAAAAAAAGTTGGAGGAACAGTTTCAAGACACCTCACCAAAATTTATTAATTTGAAGGGAAAAATATAACATTATAGTAAAAAGTCTGAAAACTAGCCTAACAAACAATTAAGCTGAGCGTAGTGGCACATGTCTATAATCCCAGCAATTGGGAGGCTGAGGAAGAAAGATTACTGCAAGTTCAAGGCCAGCCTGGACCACATGAGTTCGAGATCAGACTATACTACATGGTGAGACCCTGTTTCAAAAAACCCCAAACCAAACCAACAGTCCCCCCAAATCCAAATAATCATGATCCTTGTAATGGTGTCAATAATGGGACAAGCTGACATCTATGGACCTTCATATGCTACACTAAAAAAAATACATCTTCTCTGTGACAATTTTGTATTCACTTTTCTTTGTGTGATGTTTCTGCCAAAAACAATTTGAATCTTAAATTGAGACATCCCAAATTAATTAATTAATCCATTCCAAATTAAGAGACATTCTGTTAAATGGCCTACAATCTTCAAAATTTTTAAGGTCGTATAAGAAAGAGAGGCTGGGGATATAGCTCAGCAGCAAAAAAGTGCCTGCCTGGAAAGTACAAGATCCTGAGTTCAATTCCCAGTACTAAAAAACCCAGTCATCTCAAAAGAAAAAGACTGCCTGGGGTGGTGGTGCATACCTATAATCCCCACACTAGGAGACTGAGGCAGGAAGATCGTTTTGAGTTCAAGACCAGATCCTAAATACTCAGATCACTCAGAGTACAAGGCAAGCCTGGGCTTGTACTGAGTTCACAGTCAGCCTAAAATACATAGCAAGACCCTACCTCAAAAAAAAAAAAAAAGAAACGACAACTGAAAACATAAATGATATTGTATCAATGTAAAATTTTCTTATTTTGAGAACTGTACTGTGGTTACATACATAAAAGAACATTTACATTCTCAGAAAATACACACTGAGTGTAGTTTACAGATGCCAGCTAGAGTCATGCCTCTAAGATTCTATGTCTGGTTTGCTGCTCATGAAGTTAAGGAACGTGATCTGGCAAAATTTTTAGTTGGTAAGTGAGGGAAGTACAACTGTGCTGTCTGAAGCAAAAGGGGAAGAATTTTTTGGAGAAGGACGACGTTTGAAGTAGGGGAGAAAAGGGATATAAAAAGGAATTAAGATGTGTTATGTACATGTACCAATTTCCCACAATGAATAAAATCATGATGCACTGCAAAGATGTACTAATACAAATAAAAAATAAAAAAGGCTAAACGAAAGGAAAAGAAAATACACACTGAAGTACACAATAAAGTATTTGGAAATCAAAACACCCACAAACAGAAGAAAAAACAGGGGCCAGGGAGACAGCTCAGTTGAATAAGCGCTTACCTGGCTAGTGCAAGGGCCCGAGTTCAATCTTCGCTTCCACAAAAAAAGAAAAAAAGAAAGGTAGCAGAGAAAGTGGAGATGGCAGGGGCTGGTGAGATGGCTCAGTGGTCTAAAGCACCTACTTAGAACAAGCTCAGCAAAGCACAGGGACCGCGGTTCAATCCCCCAGCACCACATGCCAGCCAGCCCGCCCCCTGGTGGGCTGAGCTGGCCACACACACACACACACACACACACAAAAAAAAAAAAAAAAAAAAAAAAAGAAAGTGGAGATGGCAGAAAGAATGGGGCCCTTACCATGCCAGAGCCACCGCAGTAGTGGCAATGCTGCACCTTCGTACCAGGCTCATTCCCCTTGCCATCACAGCGATCACAGGTATCCATGATGTTCACGGTAAACTCCTTGTTGACACCCTTGGCAGCTTGATTGAATGTCAACTCCATGATGTACTAAGAAACCAAGGTATAGCTTGTCATTCTCCACTTTACAACCACTAGTGATGCTCTACTTTATAGGACAGGGCAGCACAGCCATCCTTGTAGTTATTATTCAACTACTGTACTTATGGGTACTTAGGTGAAGGTAGGTATTCCTAACGTAATCCTTGAGATTTTTTCTTTTTTTTTTTTTTTTTGAGACAGGGCCTTGCTATGCAGTTCAGGCTGACCTTGAGTTTGCTTTGTAGCCCACACTGTCTCTTAACGCTCTTCCTGCCTGAGCCTCCCGAGCACAGGGATTACAGGCATGTACCATCACATCCACACCCTTGAGATTTTTTTTTTTTTTTTTGCAGAACCAGGGACTGAACTCAGTTCCTTGCGCTTGCCAGGGAAGTGTTTATTCCACTGAGTCATCTCCCCAGCCCCTCCCTTGAGATTTTTAAGGTACACTGTATGGGTTTCTTGTTTGTTTTTTTCTTTCAAGACAGGGGCTCACTGTGCAATTTCAGGCTGACCTGGTACTCACCATGTAGGTGAGACTGGCCTCAAACCCATGGACGATCCCTCTGCCTTAGCCTCCAAAGTGCTGAGATTACAGGTGTGTTGCATCATATTCAGCTACAAATGTATGTCTTTTTTTTTTTTTTTCCAGAACCGGGGATTGAACTCAGGTCCTTAGGCTTTCCAGGCAAGCGCTTATTCAACTGAGTCATCTCCCTGGCCCCTGTATGTCTAATTTAAGTAAAAATACTTCCAACAAGCTAAAAGTGTTCAAGATAATATTTGTATGTAGTACTTGCTATATTTTGATCAACGGTATTCTAAAAGGCCCATTTCTTAAAGGCTTGGTCTCCAACTTGATGCTAAAAGTGGTGTATCTCAAAGAGATGGAACCTGGTAAGGAAGTTTTAGGTCACTGAAGACATTCCTTGAAGGAGTGTCATGGTTCCTCTGTTTTTTCCTTTGTAGCTGCAATGAAGTAGTAACTCTGCTGTACCATGCACAATCTGCAATGCCATGCTTCCTCATCATAAGCTCATAAACAATACAGGGCCAAAATGACTAGGGACTAAAATCTCTGAAATCATAAACCAGAACAAACCTTTTCTCTCTTTAAATTGCTCATTTCAGATATTTTGTTCAACTATGGAAAACTGAATAACAACACTTACTAAAAACTTGATTTGTGAAGAGTTATAATTTTTTTTTTTTTCAGAAGGCCAGATTTTTATTTTGTCTGAGACAAGGTCTCAGTTCATGCTGGTCATGAGCTCACGTAGTAGCCCAGGCTGGTCTCAAACTCACAACCATCCTTCTGCTTCAGCCTCCCAAGTGCTGGGATTACAGGTGTGTGCTGTCATGCCTAGTTATAGTTTAGACCATGAGGGCTGGGGAGATGGCTCAGTGGAATAAGTTCTTCCATGGCAAGCGCAAGGGCCTGAGTTCAATCCCTGGTTCCACAAAAAAAAAAAAAAAAAAAAAAAAAAAAAAAAAGGACCATGAAACTTTCTCCCCACCTCTTCAGCTCTGACACTGTCTTATTAAGAACATAAATATGAAAGCAATTTCATTCATCTTCCTGCTGGATTAAGCTCCCCTGGACAAGTCACTTACACACAAATTACAAACTCTTGAGAACCATGGCACTGCCTCCTTGAGCAACTTTCAAGAATGTACTTGAAATGTACAAGGATATATTCATTACTACCTATAGAATTTTTCAAATGCTGTAATTATTTTCTACCAAATGTATGTTTTGCCTTTCTGAGAAACAGAAACTGATAAAAATTTGCATCATACTTATAGCATCCTACAATTCTAATCATTCTGCAAAAGAAGCAACTTACTTCCTGAGGTTGATCAAATACACTCTGGAAATCTCCAAAAGAAGATGATGAGAACTCCCCAAATATCTTCCTGAACAGCTCTTCTGGGTCAACAGAAGGGCCTCCCCTCCAGTAGCTCTGTCCGGAGCTGCTGGCCCCAGGATCAAAGCCAGCAGAGCCATAAGTATCATACTGCTTCCTCTTCACTTCATCACTCAATACCTACAATAACAAAGGCAGAGCCATCAGGCATTTCTTGGTCATCTGAGGCCCAGGAACACAAACATAAAAAGTAACACAATCACAGCATTTACTAAGAAGCCCCTGTGCAAAAGCATTGTGGGAGGGTCTCTGGAATGGCTGATACTGTGTCCTTAGGACTTAGAGAAGACAGAGATGATTTCACTGGACTCTAAGTATGGAACCTGAAGTACTTTAAAATGTCTTATAAAAAAACCCCAGTGGTTGCCATGCTGGAGAAATGCTTGTCAATCCTCACATGACCTCAAAACTACCTGTACTTTTCACAGATTCACATTTCATCTCTTCACAGGAGACACTGCTTTGCAGAGAACTTACATTTCATATCCTTCTTCACTCTTCATGGAGAGGTCTGGAAGCCAGAGCAAGAGCAACAGCAGGCAGGAAGAACAGCAGTAACAAGGGGCATAGAGAGTGTATCATGTAAGCAGACATGTAGAAGACGATAACTGAGTCTTCAGTATATATTCATGTATGTTCAGGTTATGACACAAAGCTATTAGTTGGGACTCAGTATTCCAAGAAGTGCAAAAAAAGGAAAAAAAAAAAAAAAAAAAAAAGAAGTGCAACTAGTGAATGACAGGAAAAAAATGCAGTATTCACTTTATCTCACTTTTATTGAGGCGCTGAGGAATAAGACCAAGGTTTTAGGAATACTAGGCTTTATCACTGAACTATACTTGCAGTTCCATATTGTATCTTTATGTTTTACCTTTGGATTAAATGAAAAAAAAAAAAAAAAAAGCACAGCACTAGAGATCAAGCAGAAGTGTTTTTCCTCATAGGGAAAAGCACTTCCAATTAGAGTGGAAGGGGACTAAAAGATTTAGGCAAACAGTTCAGAGCCTACGGTATTTGTTAGGGACCTCAGCTAAGACACAAAGAGTAAAGAGAGGAAGGAAGAAGGTAGGAGTCCCTGGCTCCCTGATAGCTTTTGTATAACTTTATTTATTTATTTATTTAGTGTGTGTGTGGCCAGTTCAGCCCACCAGGGGGCGGGTCTGGCTGGCATGTGGTGCTGGGGATTGAACAGCGGTCCTCTCTGCTTTTGCTTAGCTTAGCTTGTTCTAAGGAGGTGCTTTAGACCACTGAGCCATCTCACCAGCCCCCCCTGATAGCTTTTGGTTCCAACCTTTCTGAAAAAATTGAGAAATTTCTGTTTTGGGTTCCTCTGTCTTACTCATTGAGCACAGTACTAGAGATTAAATATGCAGGGCCTCATGCAAGCTAGGCAAGCACTCTAGAGCTAAACTGCAAACCCTGTCCCTTTTACTTTGACACAAGACCTAAGTTTCCCAGGCTTGCCTTGAACTTAGGATCCTCCACCCCAGCCTCACAAATAGCTGGGATTATCAGTATGTGCCGTCATGCCCAGCTTGTGTTATCTTTAGTAGCATTTCCCTGGGATATGGAAATAAGCAAGATGGTAGACTAAAACTCTCCAGCACTTGTCCCTATAGAAACATTGGGGGCTGGAGAGATGGCTCAGTGGTCTAAAGCACCTACTTGGAACAAGCTTGGCAAAGCATCAGGGACCGCGGTTCAATCCCCCAGCACCACATGCCAGCCAGCCCGCCCCCTGGTGGGCTGAGCTGGCCACACACACACACACACACACACACTAAATAAATGTTTAAAAAAAAAAAACATTGGATCAAATGACGATCAACAACATTTTTAGTAAATCCCTCACTAAAAATTGATCCTCCCCCCACCCCCCGAACCAGGGATTGAATTCAGGCCCTTACGCTTGCCAGGGAAGCACTTATTCCACTGAGCCATCTCCCCAGCCCCTGAAATTTTTTTTTAACCAAAATTTTCAACAGATGTAGGTTCTGAAATTGTTTAGTTTTGTTATCAGCTAACTTAAATTACTTTACTATTTATCTAGAAATCATACTATCAAACATATCTACCCTCATGTGACAGTTTTGATTTTTTTTTTTATTTTGTATTTTAGGGAAAGGTCTACAGGGTATTCAAGGTCTCACTACTAGATCAGACTCATAGTGATCCACCTGTTTACAGCCTCCCAAGAGCTGGGATTACATGCACGTGCCACTACGCCCAGTCTCAGTTGCCAGCTCAAAGTGCCCCGGGGGCGGGGCTGACACAGTAGGCCTGGGGATCAAACCCCTGGTCCTTGCCAGGCACTTTAATCCGCTGAGCTATCTGGCCAGCCCAATTTTGGTTGTTAACTTGATTGGATTAAACAATGACTAAAAAACTGGTGAAGCACACTGTGGACATGTCTGAGAGGATGTTACCAGAGAAGCCTGGTATGTGAACTAAGTCAGGGAGACTGTCTCTGGACATGGGTAGATGACACCACCCAACAGGCTGTGGGCCTCAGTGGAATGAAAAGGCAGAATGGAAAAACTAATTGTCACTGGCACGTAACCTTTCTGCATAGGTGCATTTTTCTGCTGCCAATAGCTGTGGACATAAGACTCATGTTCTTCAACCTTTGAACACAAACTTGTACCAACCACTCTACAGGAAGCTTTCATGCCTTCAGCCAGACAGAGCTGCATCACTGACCTCTCATTCTGAGGCTTTTGGCTTCTTGGACTGAGCAGGTATCAGCTTCCCTGGCCTTCCAGAGACAATCACTGGGCACTACTCAGTCCCCAATCACATGAACCAATCAAGTAAGTTCTATGTAACTCTATTGGTTCCAGCTATCTAGAAAAACGCTAATATACATTAGATGTAGCTGACAGGGAGATAGGTATTTATTTAATAAATATTTATGAGTTTAGGTATTTTCATATGTAGCCAGCTATTCTCAAGGATCTATAAACTTCTGCGTATTCAGAACTCCTTTGGAATGGTCAAGTTTGAGAGAAAGTCAACTTTCTAACAATTCCAGATAGTCAATGGTTGTTCCATGAGCATACTTTGTCCTCTGATCAGATTCAGCATCCCCCTGGAAAATGATGATCTTCTATTTTCAAAACAGTCACTATACCCAAAGTAGCAATACTCTAAGCAAAAGAATCACTGAAAAGGGGCTGAATTAATTAATCCAACTGGGAGTCCCTAAGTTTAGCTACAATTATGAATTACCCAGAGAACTTTATTAATATAGACAATTGGATTCTAGTCTTTCCTTATTGAGATTCCAAGCTAATAGACCTAACATGAGAGCCCTGACTATATTTGTACTGTATTCCAGGGACAGTGTCACAGAACAGGCCATCCTGGCCAAAAAGCAAACACTGATTCATGCAGAGTTCAAAGACAGTGACCACATGCATAATAATCACATTACCTCATAGGCTTCTGCCAGCTGGGAGAATTTCTCCTTAGCTTTGGGATCATCCTTATTCGTGTCAGGGTGATACTTCTTGGCAAGCTAAAGAGAAAATAGTAAATTACAACAGAAAGATGATAGTTATTAAAACAGAACCCAAATACAAGTCACAAATATGCCTTCTTTATTTTATTTTCAGTACTGGAGATTGAACCTAGGGTCTCAGGAAAGCACTTTAACAAAAAGTTACATTTCCTATCCCTTTTACTTTTTTATTTTAACACAAGATCTTACTAAACTATGCAAGCTGGTCTCAAACTTGCAATCCACTTGCTTGAGCTCCTCAAGAAGCTGGGATAAGGGGCTGGTGAGATGGCTCAGTGGTCTAAATCACCTACTTAGAACAAGCTAAGCAAAAGCACAGGGACAGCGGTTCAATCCCCAGCACCACATGCCAGCCAGCCCTGCCCCCTGGTGGGCTGAACTGGCCACACACAACAAAATAAATAAATAAAAAAAAAAAGAAGCTGGGATTACAAGAGTGCCCAGGGCACTAAAGAAGTTCTAAGAGGAATTTTTAAATTTCAATAAGCTAAAAAAATATTCTTAGTGTACCTTAAATTATGAGGCTGGCCATTCTGAAATACATCATTGTGTGAAAATAAAACTTGCCTCTAGTCTGAAAAACAGTGTAAAGCACCACAGACAACTTAAAGAGATTACATATGGGCTGTATCTACGGCTTATGTGCAAAAAATAAAGATTCATATTGGGGGCCGAGGAGATGGCTCAGTAGAATAAGCACTACCCTGGCAAGTGCAAAGGCCTGAGTTCAATCCCTGGTTCTGCCAAAAAAAAAGATTCAAATCATACATAATAATGAATCTGTGGCAAGCAGACAAAATCATGACATGGCTCATAGCATAAAGATTTAAAAGGAGAGGGCCAGGGAGATGGCTCAGTAAAATAAGAGCTTGCCTGTCAAGCACAAGGGCCTGAGTTCAATCTCTGGTTCCGGAAAAAAAAAAAA